AAGGAAGGAAGGAAGGAAGGAAGGAAGGAAGGAAGGAAGGAAGGAAGGAAGGAAGGAAGGAAGGAAGGAAGAGCTGGGGCCAGAAAATTTGGAAATAAGCCTGGCATGAAGGCCCATTCTGTGATCCCAGGACTAGGAGGCTGCGGCCAAGTTCCAGGGCCTTCCTGTGAGCTCCTGCCTCAAAAGCAAGGAAGAAGGGATACAAAGTTATTGCTTCCGAGTGGCATAATTGGATCCAGGAGAGAATCGATGGAGGAAGTGTTACAAAAACCGAGGAGGCTATTCATAAATAAAGATCCCTAATTTTTATCATCTATAGTCAGAAGAGGACAAGGAGAGAGGCTATTTCTGACAGCAGCACGAAAAGAACAAGCTAGAAACAAATGCAGATGACATGCACGACTTCCCTACGGAGGAAAATCGAAAGCATTACAAAAGAAAATTTGAAGGGCTGGCCTTAGCTCAGCGGTGAGGAACAGTTGCCTAGAAAATTTGAATCAGTGGGCAAAGAGGCTGCTGTGTGGCCTTTTTATTTTTCTTCCTTCAAGACCAAGTTTCTCTGTGTAACCCTGGTTGTCCTGAAACTCACTCTGCAGGCCAGGCTGGCCTCGAATTCAGAGATCCGCCTGTCTCTGCCTTCCAAGGCGTGTGACACTACCACTGCCAACTGTGTTCTTGAGTAGAAACAGTAAACACCAAAAAAAAAAAAAAAAAAAAAGGAAACAATATTACAAATGTTGTTTCTTATATGAAGCTGTAACTCAGTAACTGCAGTAGAGAATACTAACAGGATTTTTGGGTTTGTTTTGAAGGGGAAGGGAGAGCAGGAGACTCACATAAACAGGTTCTAAAACTCAGGTGCTAAAGAGCCCGGGATGTGCACCCAGGGTTGATTAATCCACAGAAACACGAAGAGTAGAAGTCAGCACTCAGCAGCATAACGCTAGCATATGACATGGACCAGTGAAGGCCACGAGCTATGACACTCTGCCCTGGGGCTTATGTGTGGCACATCACAGCAGAGGGTGAGTCTGAATGTCATACCAGAAACAGTTCAGAAGGGACTTTGTTGGTCTTTGGAAGTGTGATGCCCCTCACAGGCGCCAGGGCTGGTGGCGCTGTTGGGCAAGTCTGTGGAATCTTCAGGATGGGAAGCCTTGCTAAAGGAAGTGAGTCACCAGGATCCAGCCTTGAGTCTTTATAACCTGGATCCACTTCCTCTTCAGCCTCTGCTTCTCAGGTACAGTGTGACCAGCCAGCTTGCTTTTTCCTGCCACACTTTCCCTGCTGGCTGCCATGTCTTCCCTGCCATGATGGACTGTATCCCCAGACACTGTGGGCCAAAATAAGCCCTTTCTCCCTTAGGTGGCTTTAGTCGGGGTATTTTATCATAGCGATGCGAAAAGAAAGTAAGACACTCTCTATATGTAAGACATAATAAAACCAGTTCTTGTTGAAAAACTTACACCAAAATAAATGTCACCTAAACAACAGACCAGAGACTGGGAGGCAAAATTTGAAACACAAAATAGAAGACATAGGAAAAATTTTCAATGACCTTAGAAAGAAAGGCCTTTCTCAATAAGGGCAAACATTAGTCACCATTTAAAAAAAAAAAAACAAAACAAATAAATGAGTGTCCTATGTGTCCTGTGATTGTAAGACTGTTGAGCATGTGCAAAAAAAAAAAAATCTCAAAGTGAAAGGCATGCTAGAAAATATTTGTATCACATTTCCTTCATATATAAAGAGTTCCTGGTAAAAAAAAATAAGAAAAACACCAAGAATATAACAGAAAAAGAAAATGCCAAAACTACATCAACAGCCAGTACACAATAAACTCAATGACCCCGAACACAGTGAAGGACAGCCACCAGTGTGCAAAGAGAAGTGTGTACCACTATGACCCACCATGCTCCTCTCAGTACAGCCCCCTGATGCTCTGCCGGTAAATTCCTCTTGGAGACCTGATCTCAATGGGGTGCCTCCAAAGCATCAATCGCTACACCAATGCTATCACCAATATTATCGGATGAAAACTAGGTAAGCAAAGCCAACAAACAGTTCCAGTAAATTCCAAGCTTCACAGGCTTGACCCCACTCAACTTCTGCAGCAGAACTGCCAGGTGGACATCCTATCTATACCCATTTCTCAGGTGGGAACAATAAAGCTCAGAGTCAAGTCAGGAACCTAGGTGGCCCGAAGTCCTTGCAGGCAACCTTCTTCTAGGCCTGCCTCCTTGTACACGTGGTCTTGAGCATTCCCAGGGCAGGGGTGGGCAGTGGCCAGAGCAGTTGAGTGGGGTGGGAGGTGGGGGTACTCACTTGTGCATGTAGCCCTCGGGGCCGGCTGTGAGGTTTGCCTGCATGACCGCCTGGAACTCTGTCTCGTTGCAGCAGTATTTGAAGACGGTGTTGTTATGGTGACAGCAGAGGACGAAGGTTTTGTTGTCTGAGAGCCGGGGGCAGTGGAAACCGAAGTGGTAGCGGCCTTTGTGGTCGGTGTAAGGCTCACAGACCCGGAAATGTGCGGACAGGACTGGAATACAGAGACACCAGGTTCACCAGGGTCCCCTTGGCAGCTCACGGGTGCCGAGCAGAAGGGACTGGCAGCCGGTTCCAGGGTCCTGCTGGCTCCTCCCTTCCCTGGGAAGTCTCCAGGGTCCAGGAAGAGCCTCACCTCTACCCCAAAGCCTCCTGGACCCCTGGTCCCCAGCTCTGTCACAACAGCTCTGCTATCCCAGGCTGAATGTTCCTTAGGGCTCCTTGAAGCTCACGCCTAGGTGGGTCCCCTCCTGCACCTCAGCCCATCGTGACTAGGCACCTGCTCTACTTAATCCACATAGCCACCTTAGCAGCAGGCAGGCTTGTGATGTCACTTTGCAGGTGGAGAAACTGAGGCTCAGAGGCCTAAAGGACTTGGTGGAGCTGGTCAGTGGTGATGGTAACAGGATTCAAACCCAGCTCCTGCTCCTGCAATCTCTCTCTCTCTCTCTCTCTCTCTCTCTCTCTCTCTCTCTCTCTCTCTCTCTGTGTGTGTGTGTGTGTGTGTGTGTGTGTGTGTGTGTGTG